GCTGGTGTTAAATCACAACAAACCCTTTCTAATTGTAGCTTAAACTCAATCCCCCTTGCCCTATCACTATCTACCTTTGTAAAAGGAATCTCTCTGGCACTTCTGTAGCCCCCTTTAGGCACCAGAAAGTGTTATAAGGTCTTTCTGGAGCCTTTTTTCCTCCATGCTGAGCAACATCAACTTTCTCAGCCCTTCCTCATAAGAGAGGTGCTCCATCATTCACATCCCACTTGTGGCTCTCCTCTGGCCCCAGTCCAACAGGTCACAGAATAACAGGCTAAACTAAGTTGGAAGGGACTCACAAAGATCATCAAGTTCAACTCCTGGCCCTGCACAGCACCGACCCAAAAGCTGCATCATGTGTGTGAGAGCGCTGTTCAAACACTTCTTGAACTCCATCAGGCTGCTTGCTGTGACCTGGGGAGCCGGTCCCTGGGAACCCTTCCATCCACCCTCTGGATGAGAAACATTTTCTTAAAATCTAACCTAAACCTCCCCTGACATACATTCCCTCAGTACTGTCAGTAGTTACCATAGAGAAGAGATCCTCCTCTTCCCCTCAGGAGGAAGTTGTGACTGCAATGGTGTCTCCCCTCAGTCTCCTCCAGGCTGAACAGACCAAGTGTCCTCAGCCACTCCTCATCCTGCTTCCCCTCAGTGCCCTTCACCCCTCCATGCCCTCGCTAGACACTCTCCAGTGCTGTCCTTCTCACACTGCAGCACCCAAAGTGCCCCCAGCACTGGAGGTGAGGCTGCCCCGGTGCAGAGCAGAGCAGAGCAGAGCAGGACAATCCCTCCCCTGCCTGGCTGCTGATGCTGTCCCTGATGCCCCCAGGACACGCTTGGCTCTCCTGGCTGCCAGGGCACTGCTGGCTCATGTTCAGCTTGCCATGGACCAGAGCCCCAGGGCCCTTTCCATGGCACTGCTGCCCAGCCTCTCATTCCCATCTGTCTGTACATCCAGGGCTGCCCCACATCAGGTGCATAACCTGGCACCTTCCCCTTACTCTTGAACTTCATGTGGTTGGTGACTGCCCAGCCCTCTGGTTTGTCAAGGTCTCTCTGCAAGGCCTTCCAGCCCTTGAGGGAGTCAGCAGCTCCTCCCAGTTTGGTAACATCTGCAAACGTGCTTAGCATCCCTTACAGTTCTGCAAGTAATTATGTCATCCCTTGTAGTCATCCAAGTAATTATGAGACTGTTGAACAGCTCAGGGCTGAGGATGGAGCCCTGTGGAACCCCACCAGGTCCCCAGTCTGATGTCACCCTGTTAACTGTAACCCTTTATTCTTAAGCCATGAGCCAGCTGTTCACCTGTTGCATGATGTGTTTGTCCAGCAGTGGGCTGGATATTTTGTCCAGAAGAATTTGGTGCTAGGGACTCCAGAGTTGGGTGCAGCACTCCAGTTGGAATCTCAACCAGAGCAGAGCAGAGGGGCAGAATCCCCTCCCTGCCCTGCTGCCCACCCTGCTCTGGATGCAGCCCAGGACACGTGTGGCTCTCTGGGCTGGGAATGCCATGGCTGGGTCACATCCAGCCTCTCAGCCACAGCACCCCCTAAGTTCTTGCCTGCAGCAGGGCTGCTCTCAATCTTGTCATCTGCCCCCACCCCCGGTGATATTGGGAATTGCCCTAGCCCAGGTGCAGCACCTTGCACTTGGCCTTGTTGGACCTCATGATATTCACATGGGCTCGCTTTCCAAACTTGTCCAGGTCCCTCTGGATGGCCTACCTTCTTCCTTAAAGTTGAATAAAGCAGTGATCTATTCCAATTCTATTCTATTCAAATTCAGAGATTTGTTCCTCTGAACATGGTCTGGGACCATGTTTTCTGTGAAACACTACAAAGTCTTATCATAATCTTGATGGAAATAGTTTATACCCATGCAATCTCTTATTCTTTATAAGTTTAAACTGATACTAAGCTTTTAGTAATATTCATATGACTTGAAGATGAACATAGAACCCAAAACTAAAACACATTAAAGGGAAAAGCTCAACTGTCTAAAAACTGCATATATGTAATACGTGTAAAGTTCATGGTCGTGGCTAAAGGTATGATTAGCTTCTAGCAGAGCCAAATTAATATGCTTTGCTGATAGAGAAGGGGCTTTTAGGTCTTCCGGAAAAAGCTGCTGTCAAAGACTATGGCAGTCTGTCCAACTTTCATTTTTGTCAACATAATGGACAGGATCCCACTTCCTCAGATGCAAGGTGAAGGACTTTAAATCTCCTGTATGTAGGGGTGTGCTGGCAGTTGAGTAACATGTATTAAGATAGCTAGACACAGTTACTTATAATTTTTCAAATCAGTTAAAAAGCAGCAGTAGCAGCTGCTTTTTGTTACAGAGTTTTCAGATGCAGAACCTCAGATGGCATAAATCATCAAATCCACTGAAGTCTACTGGAACTATCATAATTTACATCAGATGAGAATCTAAATTATCACTAGAGATACAGACTCACTACAGGGATATTAAATAAGAAATGCTGCCTAGTGGATATAGCAAAAAAGTCTGGAAAAGCATTTGATCCGATTTTGTCAGTCGGTCCATATGTTAAAAGAAAGGTGTGATAGTCTGGGGAATGCCTGACAACTTGTGGATTTAATTGTAATTTAAAGTGCAGATTAGACTCATCATTTTGAAGCAGAAACAAGATTTTATCTATGGAGTAGAAACAGACTTCAAGAGTACCTCAGCCAGGAATACTTTCAGTCTGGAAGAACAGTTAGGCTTCTATTACAAACACCTGTTATCACAGCATTTTGATATAGGTCTGGTGTGTATCCCATGAAAATCTCATCTCAAGTCAAAGAAACTAGGGCTCTTTCAAAAAACAAACCTCCTTCAGTCTAAAGGCAGAAAGCAGAACTGGAGAAAGGAGGATAGAAGAGGTTTTGCCTCCTTTCCCCCAAATCATAGATAAAACATTTTTTCTTTTGATACCCATGAAAAAGGAAGATATGATGGTCAAATGCAGTTGTGAATAGACCAGCAAATGCTGTGCTGCATTGCAAAGTTTCTCCTTGTGACCTTATTGCAACACAAAGAATAGCATCTGAGATGCAAGACTCTAGTAGGAGAAGGCAAAATTCAGCATGGAGGTGTGAGATACTAAGTTATCATCTCATAATGTTGTACTTTGAAACCTCCTGTGTCAGTGAGACTTGTCTAGCAGAGTTTTTGCCAGGGAGGAGACACACAGAGATTCAAAGTTAAAGGTGATTCTTAGAAGCATCTCAATCTTAAAAGCATTTCAATACAGCAATGGAGTTCCCAAGGCATGGAAACACAGGACCACCCACCCCAGAGTTTCAGACATAAGACATCAGGAATAGTTAACAGTCTGATGATTTGCTTATTCTGCTGGTTTTGCCTGGGATAGAGCTAATTTTTTTCACACTGGCTGATATGGAGCTGTGTTTTGGAATTGTGCTGAACACAGACTTCACAACACAGAGATGTTTTTGTTATTGCTGAGCAGAGCTTGCACAGAGCCAAGGCCTTTTCTGCTTTCCATACTGCCACATTGCCCTCCCGTTTCTCTGTGGAGGGAAGCTGGGGGTGCCTGGGAGGCTGGGAGGAGACACAGCCAGGACAGGTGACCCAGCTGAGCAAAGGGACATTCCAGACCGTGTGGCATCATGCTCACTACATAAAGTCGGGAAGAAGGAGGAAGGGGGGGCATTTGGAGTGAGGAGTTTGTCTTCCCAAGTCACCATTATGTGCGATTAGGCCTTGCTCTCCTGGAGATGGCTGAACTCCTGCCTGCCCATGGCAAGCATTGAATTCATTTCTTGTTTTGCTTTGCTTGCATGTGCAGCTTTTGCTTTCCCTATTAAACTACCTGCACCTCAGCCCACGAGTTCTCTCTTTTATCCTTCTGGTTCTCTCCCTCATCCTGCTGGTGAAGCAGTGAGTAAGCAGCTGCCTGGAGCTTGGTGGCTGGCTGGTGTTAAACCACAACACTTACTATGGATTCCCAGAGTAATTTAAGTACAGTCAAACAGCTACTCTGATGTAAAGATGATGAGGAAGGATTTTGACTTCGCAGGTACCCTTCAATGATTGTCTACCAGTGAAACTACAAGGCAATCTGATTAGAAAAAACTATTGCTAAAAACCAAAAAAGAATATCTTCAAAAGTAAAATAATGTTTAGGATCTTAGTGAGAAATTGGCTTCATCTGAATAGAGGCTAAGCTCTGGAGGTACTGAAGTCAAGGGCAGCAACTAGCCCAGCTCCCTGCTGGACAATGCTGCAGTGAGGAGGTGACCAGAGTTACCTATGTGGCAGTGATACTAGTGACACTACTGTGGTCCTTTCTACTCTTGACTTCTTGAGATTATGCAATTTATTAGCTTCTTCAATGTGGGACAAGAAAATATTCTTTGTGATGCCTTTTTGTAAATTAAAATAAAGTAAAATTAAACACGTCCCATTTTTACCAGTATCAAAAGAGTTAAAGAAGTCTAGAGACTTGTATAGGACTCCAAGGCCAACTTTGTACCAAAGGCCTGTTTATAGGAATTGCTATCAGGTATAAGGTTTTAGGCTGGAGAAAATTTAATACAGAAATTCAGATAATCAGTCATAAAGAAAAATGAGTGACAACAGAAAAACAAATACTCAATTCTTGTTAGGGACTACTTGGAATGCTGATCTCCTTGAAACATGGTTCTTAACTTATTTTAAATTTCTTATGTAACTATACCCTGTTTTCAAGTTCTTGTCGCTACACAGAGGTCCTTTTCGTATAAGTTCATATTTAGGTCTGTTCAGAGAAGCTTCACAGACATCAGAGACAAGCCATTGCCCTTCTGCCAATGTGGTTTTGCCCCAAGCTGCAAGAAAGCTTAACTAGCCACTGTAAGGGATATTTGCATCTTTTATTGCTTGCAGAAAGGAAGTTTTCAGCCAAGGAAGGATACAATTTTAGTTTTCTGTGCACAAAGAGGGAACCGACTTGCTGTAAATAATGATAAGGTAATCTTGCTAATTAGTTCTGTACTTTTTATTCAAAGGAAGAAATACCACTTTACAAACAAAAGACAAAACACAAGTTGAAAGTATTGGATAAGCTAAAAAAACATGTCAATATGGACATACCCTTGTTGCATCACACAGGCATATAAGACTTACCAAAGAATCTTAAACTGATAATCCAGAATGATGTATATGGCAACAGACATATAGTGATGCAGAATCACCAGATAAACTATTAATGCAGAAGACTATTGCTGAGAAACTGGAATAAGCAGGACAAAGGAGTGCTAAAATTCCATGTGTGGCTGGGTCTCTTCCATGGACTCTTACATCTTTTGAGTAGATTCTTAGGCAGTCTGGATCCCTTATCACACTACACCATTTACAACTGATTATGTCCTTTCTTAAACAGCTGCAGCTGCCCTGAAGTTCCAGTAAAAATGGTAGCCTCCACAGGCAAAAAAAAAATTGGATAATGAAATAAATCCATAGGAGAGCTGAAGGAAGAACCAAAACAACTTTGCTGCCCATCAAAGATAAGGCTAGAACATCCACTTTGACCATCCACTGCACTGATCTGTTTTGTCACAGAAGTTTCTGTGCTGTCCTGAACTATTGCTGAGTTGAGCTACAATACCCATTTTAAGACAGATATCTCTTGAGGTTAAAACTACAGATGGAAAGCCCATCATAATTTACTTTAAACCATTTCAATAATTAACTGATCTATATTTAGGCAAAATTGTACCAGTCTGATTTTGTTCAGCTTCCAACATTCAGCAATCAGATCCTTTTATATCTGTCAACTAGATGGAGAAGCCAGGTATCAAGTTTCTATTTCATTGCAGATACTTTTGGACTGCAGTCTATACATGGTTTTGTTTGATAAAGAGGAAAAACTTCCTTGTATCATGCCACATGAATCAATGACTTTTCTGGCTTTTCTCTCAACATTTCCTTTACACTGAGTATTCTTGAATCCTAAACTACCAAAAGTAAATTAAAAAGAAATTTTCAGTGCAGACATATAACTAGTACTGTTCATGCAATCCCCAGGGTTTTTTTTTAGCATAGCTAAGATTTACACAAGGCATTTTGACCAAAGCACCTTATTTAGTAGTCCATTCATTGTTACCTCTCTTGACAAATCTCTCTGCATCTCTTCATTCCTCCTCCAAATCCCCAAATAATAACTTGTGAACAGAAAAAAAAAAAAAAAGGAAGAAAACCAGCATTTTCAGTTCTTCTTAGGTCCAGCAAAACACAAGTTTCTGGAGATGAGAAAAGCAACAGCAGCATTAGCTTTGCAATAACATGACTGATGATTAGACTAAGGGAATTGTATGCAGACACGGTTTTATTCCCTTTTTTGTTACAGTTGTACATGTGAAAAGGTCATACTAGACAGAGAAAGTGTAACAGAAGGTAACAGAAGTGATGATGAATCTAAGGTATAAGGCATATTTAAAAATACTGGCTCAAATTTCAAAAGTGGAGTCAATTTATAGCATGGGGATGTTTTAGCATTACTCAGAGATACCAAAATAAAATTACATAAGCACGTATTATAACAGAACACTCTGGAGATGATCAGAACCAAAATATACAAGGAAACCCAGAACAACAAATCAGAGGCAACTTGTTCAACTGGCCTCCATATTTGAGTGTCTTGTCTGTTCTGAAGAGCTAGAATTTGACAGGTGGACTAAATGTAAAGGTCATAAATATAAGAGTAAAAAGGACATGCTGCTTTCTCTGTTCACAAATGTTTTACTTTAATAATTATCCACAAAACACTTGTCTGATTGCCCCCAACTTATTAAAGCCATCTGGTCTGTATTAATGACTTATCTTTGTTGTTTATTATATCTCCGATCTTTAGGTCATCTGTGAGTATAATTAATAATTTTGTACAATGTTGACGTAATTTAAAACAAGCATTAAATATCATATACCAAAAAATAATTCTTAAAATAACCCAAATATGAATATAATTGCTCAGTTAGGATCCTGCATTTAGTGCTCTGGTTTTGGCTGCCAGTTACTCAATGTTTCTACTAATCAGCATGTATATAATATTTTTTATGATAAGATATATAATATTTTATATATATGATATATAAAAAGTGTCATGCAGCACAAAGAATGTTTTCAAAAAATCAAAAGATTACATATTACAGTATTGTTATGTAAACACTATTTGGTTAGTGTCTTAGTAAAATTGTAGTCAGAGCTGTTTCTCCTATACTCATATTGACAAACATTAGCTCTACTGATTTAAAAGCTTTATATATTAGTTGTAATTTTTTGCCCACATGGATGCTGCCCAATAATCATCTGGATTATCCTCTTTACCCTTTTTACTGCTCATACTTTTAAGGAATCTTCTGTATTGTCTCTCCCAGTTTCAAATTTTTGAAAACAGACAGCATTACAGATAGCTGCTTGTTCAGTTTTAGTATAAACACTGAATTGAAGTTATCTGAACGTGTTATTTTAAAATAAGTTTTGATGGCTAACATACTCCTGAGTTGTTGCTGGAATAGGACGTGTTTTCTCATTTTGTGTAGTGATAAAATTTTGGTATTTGCCCAGGTGCTTCAAACACACCAGGGCATTCACAAGCCCCTGTCTTTATGGGGGACTTCAACCACCCCAATACTGGTTGAAGGAACAGCTAGGAGGTTCCTGTGATGCACTGATAGTAACCTCCTTCTCCAAATGGTAGAGAAACCAATGACAGAGGTGCTATGCTGGACCACGTTCTTGCTGACAAGAAGGGAATGTGAAGCTCAAGCACAGCCTGGGAAGTAGTGACCATGAAATGGTAGAGTTTGAGTGAGAAGGACACACACGAAGCTCACTAGGCTGGACTCCAGGAGAGGAGACTTTGGCCTCTTCAGGGGTCTGCTTGGTAGAGTAATAGGGAATAGAATCCTGGAGGGAAGAGGGGCCCAAGAAAGCTGGTTAATCTTCAAGGTGAAGGTCCTCCAAGTCAGGAGCCATGTGTCCCAACAAAAAGGAAATCAGACAAAAGTACAGGGCAACCTGCATGGATGGACAGCTTGCTCCTGGACAAAGCCAAACACAAAAGGAAGCCTGTTGAGGGTGAAATAAAGGACAGGTACCCTGGGAAAAATATGAAGAGATTGTCTGAGCAGCTAGGGATCAGGCCAGCTTTTTTTCTAGCATCATTTCCATAATTTCTATAGATCCATAATTCTGAGGACTAACTTAAGGCTTCCTAAATGTACCACATTTACCTATGAAGGTAGCGAGGGAGAGGAATGATGCTGTGTTCTTCGCAGATGTAACTGTCATCAGCACTGCCTTACATGAAGTAGCAACTCTACATAAAGTATTTCATATTTCCAGACTACCTGATGTGTTATCCCAAGATGGTGTGTTGTAGCAATAAAGAGTCATCACTGTTCTGAGCATCTGTTTAGAGGGCAGGGTCAGCTTAAAATCTAGCCAACTTTCAGAAGTCTGCAGTTCTGCACTTTCCTACACATATTCTACATGAATTGTGGAACTTATTTATATAAACACACCTGTCCTGCTAAGTGACAGATGCACACAAAATAGGACATAGACTTAAACAAAAACAGTGATGTTAACCACGGATAAAAGTGCAGACAGAATAACCAAAGAACTATTTTTTTTCAGCATTACTTGCAAGAGCTGGCATAACTCAATGACAAAGGTGTAGTTTTATTGACTCTGCTTTTTCCAGAAAGTAGTGACCTGTGGAGAGACATGAAGAAGCAAGCTATAATTCGATCAACTTTAATTCTGCCAGACCACAACTTCCTGTGTAAAGGATTTCTGCAAGAACATCACAACACACAACAACAAAAAGTATTTATTAGACAAAGTTTAACTGGGCTAGCAGGGGACCAACTCAGATCTAGAATTTCCTTTTGTATTATTCTCCTTATTTCTCACTCACCCCACAAATTTCTTCTTTATATACAGGAAGTAGAACTTTCATCTTGTGTAAGAATTGTCATTCTTTACTTTTTTCCCCAAGTGAACTTGGAAAAAAGATTTCAACTATCTTTACACTATTGTTGATCATAAAAAGCTAGTAGTATTTGTATTTTTTAGGAATACTTCACACAAAATTATAGCTGTAATGTGGTGTGAATCACCACTGGATATTAGTATTGATACCATTATGCTTTCACTCATCAAAGATCTATATAAATGATCTCCTGCTGAGATCAGCATAAACTGAACTGCTAAATTTTACATAGTTTTCATGCTGCAGATACCGAAGTGTATTCCCGTATGGACCGTAGTCTGAAACATTCTTTTTCAGTTCTCAAGCTACTTTTAAACAGTTGCCTTCTGAATGCTAATTTCAGAATTGCATTGGCAGATCCTTACAGACCATGTCCTGAATGTTGCCATGGTTATACTCTTCATTTAGTGAACAGTATGGAATAAACCCTCATTCCCAGGCAATAATGCAATTTAGCCCAATCCCCAGGTACTGTTAAAGTGGTTCCTCTTCATTTATGCTTCTTAAACTCTGAGTAAGCAGAGATTGCAAGTTTCATTTCCAAATAGTGTAGGGGACACCACGCCTTCTAAGAAGTGCTCAAACTTAGTAGCAATTTTTCACTCCTAGGACCACCACTGCAGACAAGACAATACATTCTGAGCAAAGGGAGAAGTTGCCTTCTCCCCCTTAGCAGATGTGGTAACTGCGACTCATGAGTAGCAGGTGGAAGTTGTCACCACAGTATCAATTATTGGAAGAGAAAACTGCAGCTTTTTCAATAGCTCAGAGCTGTTTGTGGAAGATTTTCCTGATACTACAATCAGTCCAGGGTGGATCCAATTTCCCTGGTGGTCAATACCATTTAGAGGCTGGAGTTGGTAAGGAAGTGTGTTTTTACATTTATCCCCTCAAAGCTCATTCTCTTCCTCAGTTATTCCACTCCTCATATCCTAGTGATTTCTTGTTTTCTTTTGAAAGGAAAGACCTCCAGCTTTTCTAGTGAGCTTCAAAAGCAGCCATTCATCTGCAGCAAGCAAAATTTTGTTTTAAAAGAGTCAAAGACTTTATGCTTGCAGAGATAAATTGAAAATCAGAGCAGGGTGCAAACTTGGTCAACCAAATGTGCACATGGTTGGCTTTGGTGCCTGGACTGTTGTCCTGAATGTGGTGAAAACCATGCTCAGGCTGTGCTGCTGTTGCTTCTCAGAACCACTGAAAGCACAAGAACAAAATTTTTTTGATGCTGTCTGTAACAAAGCTCTCAGAATCACATATTAAAATTACTGACAGGGAAGCAATTCTGAGTTAGGAAAATATTCTTCCTAGAGACAGACTTCTGCTGTCTTAGGCTGGAACAGTAATGCGACACTGGACCTTTACTATGACTGGAGGAATTCAGAGGCTTTGCCCAGGTCTTTGCCCAGAAGCTCCATTTTTGGAACCACTAGAACATATATTTTACATGAAACACCAGAAGAAATTTCTAGTGCTCCTGCTCATGGATCACAACATTTGCAGGATGACTGATTGGGACATCTGCCTAAGCCTGCAGACACTGACTCAGTATCTCCTGCAGTGTTTGAACCACACCACACCACACACAGCGCCTGCATCTATTTCCCCTGAAGGACACCAATACAGCCCAGCAGAGGACAATGCCTAGCAATAGGACAGCTGTCCCATGAGTCCTGCATAATTTATGAAAGCAAAGAAGCATGGGGACATAGTAATTACCAAGGGGTCCTTTCCTTTTCAATGGTAAACCTGTCAAATTCTTGGAACTCCTAATACTCCCCTGGAAGTAACACTAATTTTCAGAAGTGTAAGACCACATTGTGCCACTATTATTCCAAGTGTTGAAGTGCAGCAGAGGTGTATCTTTCAGCTCATCTTAATCCCTGCAGCAGAAAAAAAAAAGAAAAAAAAAGAAAAAAAAAGAAAAAAAAAAGAAAGCAACGTCAAAGCAACGTCAAAAATTACATTTTTTTATTCAGAGCAACTTCAAAAGTTAAATGTTGTCTAGTCACAGACCAGTAGAAAAAAAACCCTAAATCCCTGCTCTAAAAAAGGGATTCCAGTGAAGCCTTTGAAGGTAGTGAAGTAAAAGGAAGTACTGGTTTCTCTGACAAAATTTTACTGCAGGCTCTGATGATAGCTTATCTCTATCTTCTGATTTTGATTACAAGGCTTAGCTTGACATGTTAGCTCCAATACAATTTCCAAGACTGCAGGACAGGAAGAATAGGAAGAAGGAAGGCAAGTGGTTTGAAAATTTAGTCATTTTGTCTCTTTAATAGGGACAGACTGTACAATGGACTGGCAACAGCAAAGTACAGTCAAAGAAAGATGAGAAAGAAAAAGAAGAGACAGAAACAGGCAACCAGATAATGAAAATACTTTCAGCTGGGATACAAAATACAAGTGAAAGTACATCAATGTCACCCAAGATATATGGTAGTAAGCTGTGTTTAACCCTGAAAATTGACTGCTCTGAACAGAAGCAGTATTCCACAGCTCAGTGTTGCAGGGATAGATTGGCAAAACAAGTACACACCACTCTAATTAGCACTTGGGCTACAAAATTTCAAATACTTTCTAAAGTTTTGGGACAAAAGCCCAGGTTTTACAAATATAAGATATACTCTGGGTTGGAAAAAAGAAATTGGGAAAACAATCCCTCAAAATGTTGTACCCTTGATTTGGTCTTTATTAACTATTCCTGAGCATACGGTCATTTTTGATGAAATAAATGACAAGACAGCACAGTGTAATTCTTTTGTCAGACAGAAAAACCTCGGTCTCTTAATTTCAAAGGGTATCTTAGCTATACAGAAGCCCTTGTACTTAGAGCACTACCTTGTAAGTTTGTCTCTGATACAACCCAAGAAAAGAGTTGTCTCTTGTAAGTTGTAAATCTCTTGTCTCTCAAGTTGTAAATCTTGATTGGGTGTTTCGGCAAAGCTACAGACAGGTTTGCAATACTGTTCAAATACCTGTAAACTAAGAATTTAACTACCAGTTGGAACCAAATTTTACACAGAGATCATTAAGAAAAAAAAAATATAGTCCAGCTCATTTTTCCCAGATTGCTAAATGCAATCGCTAGGGAAACAAGTAAGAGGCAGCAAGTATTGTACCTGAGCTTTTAAAAAAAATGACAGTTATTACAACAGGAACCATTACAGTCTTGCTTAGCCATCTCAGCCTTTTCTTTGCCTCCACACCTTCTGCAGGTCCTCAGTTATAATTCATGAAGGCTGAGAAGTTCGCAGAAAATTGGCACCTAGAGAAATTGCTGTACAGTTAACTTTACTTTCCTCTTCCAAGGACTGCCTTGGCTATGCTGCTGGAGACAAGGATACACCAGCACAGCATGGATCCTACTGAAAGGGACCCCATCTCTATAGCACACAGATAGGAGCTCCAGGTTTTGGTATATTTAAGCTGTCCCCTTGTATGTTCAGCTCTCCTGCCATCACACATTAATCTGGACTCTGGACCTCTTAGTCAGTTCTGGCTAATCAGGGAAGTCTGGAGATGTCAGAGATGACTGAAGGTTGGCCAGTGTGATGTCCGTCCACAAGAAGGGCTGGAACTCAGATCCAGGCAACTACAGCCTGTCAGCCTGACTTCAGCACCCAGCAAGACTGTGGAACAGATCATCTTAGCTACAATCAGATGGCACACACAGAACAACCAAGGGGTCAGGCCCACTCAGAATAGGTTTAGGGAAGGCAGGTCACACCTGACCAAACTGATCTCCAGGTGACCTGCCTAGTGGATGTGGGAAAGGCTGGGGATGTAGCCTGTTTGGACTTCAGTAAAGCCTTTGATTCTGTCTCCCACAGCGTTCTCCTGGAAAGGCTAGCAGCCGATGCAGTGGACAGGTACACCCTTTGCTGGATTGGCCAAGCCCAGAGAGTGGTGGGGAATGCTGCCAGTAATGGGGCCAGTTCTTTTTAATGTATTTTTTTGATGATCTGGATGAGGGGGTTGAGTGCATTCTCAGTAAATTAATGAATAACAAATTGCGTATAAGTACTGACCTGCTGGAAGGCAGGAACTCCCTGCAGAGGGATCTGGGCAGGCTGGATCATGGCTGAGGCCAATGGTGTGAGGTTCCACAAGGCCCAGTGCCGGGTCCTGCCCTTGGGTCACAACAACCCCAGGCAGCTCCACAGGCTGGGGCAGAGTGGCTGGAAAGGAGCTGGGGGTGCTGGTGACAGCAGCTGAACATGAGCCAGGCTGTGCCCAGGGGGCCAAGAAGGCCAATGGCATCCTGGCCTGGATCAACAATGCTGTGGCCAGCAGGGCCAGGGCAGGGATTGTCAGCTCTGGCACTCAGCACTGGTGGAGCTGCATCTCAAATGCTGTTCTGGACCTCACAAATCAGGAAGCACATTGAGGTGCTGGAGCATGTCCAGAGAAGAGCAACAGAGATGAGGAAGAACCTGGAACACAAGTCCTGAGTGGCTGAGGGAGCTGGGGGTGTTTGTCCTGGAGAAAAGGAGGCTCAGGGGTGGCCTTATCACTCCTTACAGCTGCCTGAAAGGAGATTGTAACCAGGTGGAGTCAACCAGTGACAGGACAAGAGCACAGTCTCAAATTGCACCAGGGGAGGTTTAGGTTGGACATCAGGGAAAATTTCACCGCTAAAGGGCTCTCAAACATTGGGATGGACTGCTCAGGAAAGTGGTGGAGTCAACATCCATGGAAATGTTCAAGAAATGACTGGATCTGGCACTTCATGCTATGGTCTAGTTGACAAGGTGGTGATCATTCAAAAGGGTGGACTTGATGACCTTGGAAATCTTTTCCAAACTAAATGATTCTGTGATCCTTGAAATGGGAGAAGGAAGGGTTTTGACTTGTTTGGGGTTTTTCTTTTTTTTAATTTAAAGCCATTTAAAAAATCATTCTACCAGCACTTAGCATGTGGAAAACCTCTACTGAAAATTTTAGTTAATGCAATTTCTCTTTCTTTGCTGTAGATTAAAATTTAGGTAAGCAATGTCTTTTATTTCAAGACAATATCACAGATTGAGGTTTTTATGTCCTGCACACAGAGTTTCTTACCAAGAATTACTGGGCCTGACACTGCAAAGTAGTTCCTTAGTCCAATGCAAGGAAGTCGGAAGTGCAGTTAAAATGGAGAAAGCCCAAGAAGATAAAAAGGGGAGTTGTTCATGTAGGATGCTTATCCACAAGAAGGTAGTGCCTTAATGTTCCCTTTTAAACTACCAGCCCATTTCACTTTCTGTATATTTTATTCCTCCACGTGCTGGTAGACCAAACAATGGCATTTTGCACCTGAAAACTCCTAGACCAGCCTATGCTGTTTTTGGTGAAGAATGTCTGACCAAAAGAACATGAAGTTTTGAGGAACTTTTTTTAAAAATCACTTAGTCACAATTATTTGCACTAAAAAGAGAGGATAAATGAAGAAAGATGTTTAATATCCAATATTTTAATAAAATTCTTTTATTTTGGTATTAGGAAAAAAAATACTTTAAAAATAATATTTACAAAGACTTGTGAGGATAATACACTGCTTTTACTTTGAGTATTCATAAATTTTGCAACTCAGATCAAAATAAGGTCACAACAAACCCAGCGAGACACTAAATCTAGAGTTCCCTCTGAGACAAAGACTTTCTCCTTTTGACTTTATGCAAATGCTAAATCTGAAGAAAGGTGATACACTCTTATTCCTCTAGTCTTCCAAGACCTCAATATTCTGAATCATCTAAATGACTGCAACACATTTAATTTTAATAAGTTTCTTGCATATTATCATTTTACTTGTAACAGTGATGCTTTTGTCCCTAGTGACTTAGTAGTGAGCTAAACTGCCCCAACAGATATCTCAACACAAGTCTCCTTATAAGGAAGAAATAATTCATTCCCAGGATCTATTCTCAATAAATGTAAACTGAATGTGCTCAGTCCTTAAGGAAATACAGAGCAGCATTAATTCACACAACTCTGGGACTATGGTACAAACAATGCCTTCCCCTTCAGTCCATCTGAGAATGACTTCATACATTAAGTATTGAGCCACAGAAACGCAGAGGACACAGAAATTAATGTCAAGAGGATTTAGCACAGTTGTAGATGTTTGTTTCTTTTAACTGTTCTAGAAAACGGGCAAAGTATGCTTAGTATTTTAAGTAAATTTTCCTAAATGCTTTTAGATTCTAGTCTGAGTACAGTTTTAGAATCAACAAGGAATTTAATCAAAATAAAAAGCTGCACTTTGAAAGGGCTCATTTGGTACTGCCAGTTTATTTCCACTTCAACAGAGAAACTCTAAAGAGCTGGCAATATTTATCCTAGAGTATTTGATTTAAAAGGCTAGAAAAAGGCAAAAGTTCTTTTTTTAGGCTTTGAATTAAAAATAGCCTCTAAACATAATGAAAGAAACTGTTTTATGAAAACATTGTAAAACTGAAGACAGTGACCAATTACACTATTTTCTTCACTAACCAACCCTAAGATGGTAATTTCATCAACACCCATCACTTCTGTCTGCTTTTCCTGCATTTCAATTCCCAGTTTCACTACACTGCTAAGTTCAGTGATTTTCACTACTTTTACGTACAACACTGTTTCTCAAGCTTTCACACGATATTAGAATACATTTGTTATCTCCAAAATCTGTAGCCTTCTTTCAAGAAATGAAACCCCTTGTTATCTAAAAAGGCACATAGAAACAGGTTTAAAAACATTTGGTTCAGCATTGTAAATCCAGTTGTTTCAGTAGACCTATCATTCTTTCTTGTTTGGATTATTTTAGTCCTCAATTTTTCTTGCTTTTTTTCCCTTATAGCTTTAGCTCCAAGAACTCTCCAGCCTCCATTCCCAAGTCTCCTTCTCTGTCTTTGGCCCCCTACCCTCTGAGAGTTTAGAAATATTTTATGCAGCACATGAATCCAGACCCTTGTTCAGCTTCAATGCAGGAATGCCAAGTTTCATCTTTCCTGATAAGATTTAACCACTGGGGTGACTTATGTTGGGAAGCGTTATGTCGCCTGCCATCATTTTTCTACATTTAGACCTTGGTGTGTTTCACACAAAGACAACTGTGCAGCTGTATGTGACCTTCCTTTTAGATTAGCGCAACTGGTGGAATGCTCAAGCCTTTTATACTTTACTATAATGAGCAAAACTGGCTGCAACTCGCCTAATGCTCTGAAAAGATTATTAGGAAGGAATTTTACTGCGTGGTGGCCAAGGGTGCTTTTCCAAGCAGCTCACAGAATAGCCTTTTATTATATGCAGGAAGTTAGCCAAGTTAAGCTTGCTGTTTTGCAGCCATTCCTCCCTCTCTGTGTAGCTCAGGAATAGAAACTTCCCAAAATGGTGAGATGGAAACAGAGGCAAGAAATGCTCAGCTCAGTAAGGCCATCCCTTGAGAACATCCACTGAAAGAAAAACCAACTATCAATTAAAATAGCTTAGATATGGCTTTAACACTTACTAATTTCTTCTCTGGAGTTAACACATCTTCCCACTTGGTTTCAGAAAGCGGAGGGAACTTAGGGCAAATCTGGCAGGACAAAAGTTCAGCCTCAGATGAAAATTTGCAAGTTGTTCAAGTGCTACACTGGTGCAGCTGGAGCCTAAAGTGGAGCACATTTGGTGCCTCTGGTGGCATGACAAGAGCAAAGATGCCTCTTGCTTCCTTGTCTTCTCCCTAGCCCAGAACCTAATAAGATTCACCAGCATTCTGTGTATCTGTTAATACACACAGACTCAACAGGAAGCAGATACTCTTGAGGAGGGGAGACAGATGAAAGAGGTGGATCCATGAGCTCTTCTGCTTGTTTTCTGGGATTTCTTTAATGAATTTAAAAATTTCTGCCCAGATCTGTAAAGACAGAAAAAAGACTAAGTTGAGGTAACTGACACACAGGTTAACTTATTATGGATGATTTGTTGTTCATTGCCACTCTTCTCACTCTTTTTGGTTTTTATTGTAAAGTTGCTCAACTATGATGTGAAGAATTCTTCCTGTGGCATGAGTGTTATATTTATTGCAGCAGGTGGCTAAAACCTGGTAAAGAACAGCCATGCCCAATTTGGAAGAGTATCTTTACTGACTTGCTAGATGCTTATTTAAAGCAGAAATAGTGGTAGAACAGAGAAGAAAAATTGCTTTGACATTTGAACAATCATTACTCATGAATAAGCGATGGAGTTAAAAATAATTTTCCTCTCCTCTCACACACACGCAATCATAAAATTCTTTTTTTTTTTTCTTTTTCCTACATATTGATAGTAAAAGAAAGTACTCCATGCTCATCTCTGGTCTGCAGTATTCAGGCTCCCTAACACTTCCAAAATTCTGTTGGGAGTTAAGTTTATAAATCCAGCAGAACATTTATAAAACATGTCTAAATCTAAAAACAAGACCGTTAATATTCCAGCAAGCTATCTATGAATTTATGAAACTGGCATCTCAAAAAAACCCCCAAAAAAACCACCAACCTAACCATGCAGAAAATAATTCTGCAGTTTAAGCTATTTGGTTAAAAAGCGTCTGTCATTTTCTTAGTATCAGCAACTGGCAGCAGAAAAACAAAAAATAAAAAATAAAACAAAACCAGAAAAAACAAACAAACAAACACACACACACACAAGCAAAAAACCAACCCTAACCCTCGCCCCCACCAAAAGCACAGGTCTATACCTAAATGTAAAAAAATTCTTGACGTGTGAAATTTCCAAGTACTGCTACTGTTCAGAAGTTTAAAAGCATACACTGCCCCCCCTTCTCCAATACGTGCAAATTCTAAACCATCACAGGTTTCTGCCAATCTTTCTTTAAAAATCAGTTAGCGAGTCAGGTAAGTTTAATTCAATTTCCCGTCCACTTTAAATGGAAAATGCAGTTTCTGCAAAGCTTTCCAATCGCTTGAATACAAAATAAGCTCCTGTTCCAGTCGGAGGTGGAGGCGGGGAGCGGAGGGATTGGCACGAACAAAAAGGAGACGACAGTTTCGAGCCAAGGCGATGTTGTTTGCACCTCTTAGATTTTATGCCGGGCACGCTTGACATTCCTCCGCCGCATTCCCTGACGGAACCGCCTCCCCGCTGGGGGCGCCTTGCGCTGCATCATGGAAAATGTAGTCTGTCTGGGAAAACCGGAGGGAAGCCGCTCCAATTACGGCTTCTGCGGGGCACGGCATGCGAGCAAAGGGCTGCTCGCCGGCCCAGTGAGTGTTTTCAACTACGAGCCGCCCAAAAATGCCTCTTACAAGCTACAGTTCCGAAATATTTCATTAATTACAAAAATTGGTTTTAAATTCGGTTAATAAAAAATGGCGACTGCTCTACCACGAAGCATCAAAGCGTAATCCCATTTCCGAGATAAAGTCCCGAAATACCAACATAATATTTATATTAAAATTTAATTAGTGTAACAGAAGTCAGCCGAGGTTGCTCTGCGATGACACGCAGCCCACAGCTTCTCAGCGCAGAAGGGCGCTGTGCGCTGCGCTCGCTCGATCCCGGCCGGGCGGCACTTCCATGCGGCCGGCGTGCCGGGAGCAGCGCCCCGCGCCGCGGGCAGCCACGGCGACACGCAGCACCTCGGGACCCTCAGCATATGGATGCCTCCATCTATCCATCTATCTATCAATCCATCCATCTCTGAGGCGCCGGCACGAGCCCGAACGGCGCGGTTTTTAAAGATCACCGAAAAGACCCTGGCCCTCCGCTGTGTCACGACCCACCTGGGTAAACACGGTGCCTTCATCGCCTCCAAGTGACTCACTGCGGGTCCTTGCCGCCCTGGCCTGTGTCTCGGCTCTCCCGGAGCAATTCCAAGCCCTGACATCTGCAGAGCCAACCGGGTGCTGGCACCGGGATGATGACCTTTACCGTACTACCGCTAGTAGAAGGAAAATGAAACTCCCCACAAAACTCAATACCAACACATCCTGGAGCGCGCCTCACTCGTGTAGCTCAAGAGCTTGTTATAGGCATGCACCTAGGCTCCTGATCCAGGGGCGGACAGAAAGGCCTTCGCCTCCTGCGGCCCCGCCTCTGAAGCGGGAGCGCAGGTCTCCCACCGCGGCGCGTACCGCGCTTCCCGTCCGCGAGGCGCGGCGCGGCTCGTCCCGCCCCTCCGGCTTTCCCGGCAGAGGTGACCGGGTTCAGGCCGCGGCGGCGGCCCCGCCCCCGCATTCCATTCCCTATATGGCGGCAGAGCTGGGGGCGCCGCCGGCCACGCCCTCCTTTCCCACCACGCGCCCGAGGGCGCGCCCGGGCTTGCGCGCGTGACATCAACGGGAGAAGAGGCTGGGAAGGCGGAGGTGGGAGAGCGCGCGCCACCTCTTCGCCCTTCCCTCTCCCCTGCCGTTCTATTTACGTTGTGACGCCGATTTGCATAAGACCCCGCCCCCCACAGCCGGCGAGCCCAGGCGGCCCCGCCCTCTTCGCCACATAAGGGCAGAGGGGGCGTGTCCCCGGGGGCTCGCGGGCCCTCGCTGCCTTCCTGGAGCCGTTTATAGGGTACAGCCACTTCCGCTGTCGGCTTAGAAGCGGCGCGATCATGGCGGAGCGCGGTCAGCTCCCCCACCCCGCCAAGCGCCTCTGCTGCAGACCCGGCTATGGCTCGGGCTGCAGGCCGGGGCAGCGGGCGGGCGGCTCCGGGCCCGGCGGCGGCGCCCTCTGCGCCGGACCCTCATCCGCAGCTGCCGCCGCCGCCCTGGGGCTGCTGCCGCTCGGCAAGACCCAGAGCCCCGAGTCCCTGCTGGACATTGCAGCTCGCAAGGTGGCGGAGAAGTGGCCCTTCCAGCGGGTGGAGGAGCGGTTCGAACGGATCCCGGAGCCAGTGCAGCGCAGGATCGTCTACTGGTCCTTCCCCCGCAGCGAGAGGGAGATCTGTATGTACTCCTCGTTCAACACCGGCGCCGAGGATCCCGCCGCCGGTCCTGGAGGCGCCGCTGCGCCTGGCGGGGCCATGGACGTCGCCGCCGCTGCCGCTGATGAGAACCGGCTGCCCTTCCGCAGGGGCATCGCTCTGCTCGACGGCGGCTGCGTCGATAACGTCCTGCAAGTCGGTGAGTCACCGGCCGGTTCCGCTCCCAGGCCAGGCCTCTGCCGCTCGGGGCCGCGGGTCTCCCCTGCGTGTCACCCACTTGCCGTCCCTCTCTCTCCGCTCCAGCTCACCGCCTGCGGCCCGGCCCGTACGAGCCCTTCACTCCCCGGCTGTACCGTGGGCCGGGCAACTTCCTCCGCCGGTCTCCTCCCCTTCGTTCCCGGGACGCGCAGTGGCTCCCTGCCTCCGTGACACGGACACGGCTCCCGCCTGTCCCTTTAACTCGCAGCCCCACACCGCGCCGTGTCCGCTCCCGGTAATCCAGCCTGTGTAATCCCGTTTGGCTCTGCCCTCCTACCAGCGTCCACCCCCGGTAATCCGGGTCATCGCTTTTCCTCGAGCCACAATAGCGAGGAGATGCCGCCCCCCTCCATCCCGAGGGGGACCGCCGGTGGAAATGAATCAGCAGAAGGGCTGCCGGCGGGGAAGGGGGGGGCGGGATGCGCCGCCGTCCAGAATAAAGACATAAAAGCGGTGCGAGACCCCGGCAGCGGGAGTGCGGGGGGGATCCGCGAACAAAGGCATTTCTAGGGCAGCGGCGACGAGCCGGAAGGTGGGGGCGCGATTCGCCCCGCCGGGGGTGGTATGCCAGGGGGGTTGCTTTAGGATGAACGGCTTCGTGACAAGGGGGGGAAAGCGAAGCTCTTCCTCCTACTGAAACAATACCCCCCTCCTGTTCGTCACCCCCGGTCCAGCCGCCTGCCGCTGTTCTTCACCCGCTGCGGGCTCCCTTGGTTAACTCCTCCCTGCCAGTGTTTAAAGGGCTGCAGAGGTGGGTATTCCCCCACTTTTGTGGGGGCTGTCTGCCGGGGGCGGCTCCCCTTCCAGTCCTTGAATGAAAGAGGAGCCGCCCCCGGCAGATAGTCCCCTCCGCCGGTGGTGATGCTCTTTGTGCGACCCGGCCACTTTGTTCTCATTTTCATGTTTATTTGCGTCTTTTTTTTTCTTTCATTTTTTTTTTCTTTTTGTTTCCCCCCCTCTCAGTTTTCTGTCGTTTTCCCTTTTCCTCCCCTTAAAAGGGGAAGACAGACAAAAGAGGCTGCTGCTCGCCTTTTGTTGACGGCGGCGGCTCAGTGTGTGTGTTTGTGTTTGTGTGTGTGTGTGGGGCGCCGGGATTCCCTCCTTCTCACTTCCCCAAAACCTTGGTACTGCCTGCTGCTGGTTTGACTTGGCGGGCACCTTGCAAATGTGCTATCAGGTTTTTTTTTCCGAAGGGAAGATGTGACTCTGCTCTTAGGCTCACTGCTCCTCTCTTTTGCCTAGGGAGACTTTCTTTTGTTTTGTAATTTATTTTTTTTAAATCAAGTTGATTTTAAATTTAATCTTTTGACTTTCTCTTTCTGAGGGGTCTGAGGTGCATTTGTGGTTTCCCAAAACTGGCAGAACCAGAAGTAGGGCTTTTTTAGTTTGGTTGGCAGTGCTGAGATTTTTTTCCCCTTTTGCTTGCACTTGATTCTGTTTGCAAGCGATTAGGAATGACAGGAGTGCACGTAGGGAGGGTTTCTTGGCTGATTGCATTTAAGCCAGGAATTCACTGTGAAAATAAAGCCAAGGGGCAATAAATAAAAAATGCAATCTTCTCTAGGAGGCAGACACCCAGCGAGGACTTTGCTTTGCCTGCTTTCAGCAGTGGAATAGGCCTCAGTGAGTAGTTGTGAAGGAAAAAAGTAACTTTTTGTGTGTCTTCAAAGGGGAAGGCATTGAGTAATGTTGGCAAGGGTCAGTCAGTATGTAGAAAGAACATATGCATGAATACGATTTAAGTGTTGACTACCTTTTCTGGAACCTTTAAATGCATTTCAAACAAATACTGTACCTGTTGCTGAAAATACATTTGCTTTGTTGTATTCCCCCACTCCCAACCTTATGTGAGCCTCCTTTGAAATTCTTGCAAAAGTAGTAGTGGAAACTGGTGAAATGAAAGATGTCAGTTGTTTTGACAGAGGCCTTTGGTGAGGGAGTTGGGGAGGACTTGGGTAGGTCCTGCTGTAGGAGAGTTCTTGTGTAGTTTGGGTAGGTAGCTGTGTCATTAAGACCGGGGTCTTGCTGACAAGATATTCCTTCCTTCACTTCCTAGTGAAGCAGAAAGGTGCAGCTGTTAAAAGCAATTCCGCTCTAGAGTGAATTATGTTGGGCAGAGAATGGAATTGGTTCCATATAATACAGCTGAATATGTAGCATTGATGAAAACTTAGAATTAAGTTTATGTAAGTCTATGTTTAGTGACCATATAAATGTGAACTTTTGTTCTTTGCAGTGTGAGTAATGGAAACTCTGTAAATGTTTATTGTTGAACTATGGAAAAGTGCAGTTATTGGACAAAATACATTTTATTACAAATCAGTTCTAACAGCCTTACTTGTAACCTGAAGTATTACTGTAAACAGGGAATAGGGGACTTGATTTGAGAGACGCATAAATTTTGGTTCAGTGGTAGTTAAATGGCACCATTTGCTTCTGAATTTTACATTTTAAGTTTTTCAGTATAGCCGTGAATAAACATTCTTACTATTTTATCATGGTAAATAATCTTAAGCAGGAAGATTTCCCAAACCTTATATCAAAAGTTTGCTAAAAATCTTCATGTGATCCTCCTTCATACCCACCAACTTAGTCTCTTGTGTGTTATCTTGTTGTAAAGAAAATCCTAAATAAAATGAAGATGGTCTAGTGATACACAAATGTACACACACCTACAAATGTAGATGATATTAGTGATACACACAAATAACCTTCTTGGTAATCAGGCAGTAAGGTTGTTTGCTAGCCTATTTTGTTTATTGGTACTGTCCTAGCATAATAATTAGCATCACTTAATTTTGAAAGGCTTTTCTCCAAAGAGGATGGCTTCAGAATTCAATTTGCATCTAACTTATTGATGTATTTATATCTTTCTGATATATTTCAACCGGACATGAAAGTTTTTCTTCCTTAGTATATTTCAAAAGAGCCAGAAAGTGCAAGT